TTATTAAAATTTAACAGATAGAAATATAACTTAGTTAATGTGTTTTTAAAAGTTGTATTAGATCAATATAAGTTTGTGTTGCAATAAATATCGTTTTTAATCAATAAAACTTCCTGGTTGTTGCAAACTCAACAAAATAAATAATTAACAATTATAATGTATGGTATGGTTGAAAATTTGAGTTTTTAGTTTTTTAATAATGCCGCGACCAAGACGATCGAATCTTTCCCGACAAAGCCGTAATGCAAGAAGAATACGAAATACTGCAAATTTAAGGACTGAAGGTCGAGCGAACAACAGAGGTCAACAAATAGATAATTTGCGATGTGTACTAAAATACACAAATAAATTATGAATGATTAATGTAGGTATTTTTTTTTTTTTGTATTTTTTCCAATTAAAAAAAAACTGCTTATTTATTGCCTTTAAGGCGGAACAGAGTTCGCCGGGTCATCTACTAGTAAATTACTATAACATGATTTAATAAACTTCATTTAAAATATATAGTATATAAAATAAAGGAAAGAAATGATCTGATTATTTTATATAGGGATTTTTTAAAATATTTTATAATCCATACGAAGAACAGAATAATTTGAATATATAAGATTAAGCCTTAATGGAGCTAAATTAACTAAATATAAAAACAAAAAAACTTTTCGTTATTAAAAAATATTTATAATTAAATTTAGAAGAAAAAAGAAAATTTAAGACTATAATAGGATTAAATATTGTCCTACCATAATAGGAACGGATAGAAAATATACTACAAAATTAAATGAAATAAAAGTTAAATACAATACTACAATCATTTTAAAACTCTTTGGTTCAATTACACAGTCGTAACTAGTTTCAAAATTAACTTACGTATATATTAAACCGGGAAAATTGATGACTTAAGCATGACTTAAGTTAATATTGAGGTTGAAGTTATAACTGTCAGATCGACTCTAAGACTTATTGTAGACACCCCGTAGTTTGTGACTAATGAAGAACTAATTTTTGAGTTGTATTATAATTGTACAATGAAGACCTTACAAATAGTACCATCTAAAGTTTTATTTTTACCAGTGAATTCAGAATTATTAGTCATTTAATTGTGGACTATAAGCCATAGGCTTCATGTTATTCGGCTATATTCCATGGAACTGTCGCTTATTTGACAGTGGCATAATTGTCTTCAAATACTTACTAAGATACTATACTTCAAATATTTGACTATATATAAATTTGTTTGATCAGATTCAAACAAAGAAAGATTTATCCAATGGTAAACTTTAAACTAATTACTTTCGATCACTTTTCACTGTTCAATACAGGTGCTAATTAAAAGGGCTTTATTAGTTATATAAAATGTAGAATAAATTTACTTATGATTATTATTGCAATTGTAATCAAGGAGAGGTATTAAAAAAGACTATGTATGTACGAGTATATGCTTTTTTACCGTTGGGCAAATAGTATTTATTTTAATTTCAGGTTAGTTCATTAATTGCTATTCGATATCGTAAGGGTGTGTGTATTAAATTTATATTCTTTCACATTAAAGCGAAAAATTGGTTTCCAGAATAACTGGCAGCACAAAAGATTTACTATGATCGCGGTGTTTCACTCCGTTTGGAGTCGGTACGCTGTCTATTTCTTATCTTGACTGCTTTCCAGCTTTAAGAAACTTGTTTTCTTAAAAGTGTGTTAATTTTACCATATACTTTTTTTATGAAAACACAATGGGTGTACTTTTCAAGTCCTAACTGAATCTTGATTTTTATTGATGGTCTGGCTCATTGGTATCTTTGGTACCTCCTACGTCACTATTCAAATATCTATTTCACTAAAATATGTTATATGATATCATATTTTATATGTATTGAACATTGTATATATGTATATAGTATACAAAACTATATATGTATATAGTATACAATACTATATATACATATTAACATTTATTACATTTGGTGTTTAAGTTAAATTTATACACAACAATTTATATATATTTTTCAATTGAGTTCAATATCATTTTTGAGTTACATTTTAATAATTAATTCTTTTACAAATTAATTTGATTCTGGTTATTTAACTAAAAGATTTGCTAGTATTTCTGTCGACTCATTGATTGGTTTTTAATTAAAATTTTGCATGAAATAATGAAATTTGTTTTGGTCAAATATTCTAATTTTATTTACAAGTACGGCTTCACAATATAAAGGTGGGCTGTATGCCATGGGTTGGGTAATATATTTAAATTATTTAAAAATGACTTTAAGAAACCATTTGTATGTTAAAATTTTTTCAAAATGAAGTCATAAGCAAAAATATTTTAAACGTTTCCTTTATGTTATAATTGTATACAAATTGTTTATTAATTTTTTCTTGAAAGATTGTTAGCAGAGTTTGTAATTAATGTTTTTGGTTAATTTCATTTAAATTTTTCAAGTTTAATATGCGTGAAGTGATGTTTGCGAATCCAACAAAAAAAAATCTAAACAAAAAGCCACAAAACAAATTGGAAATTAGTTCATTTTTTCTGCTTGGCTGCAATCTCATGCAAAATTTGCTTGGAACATCCATGGCAGATGAATTTACTTCTTCATTTTTACAGTATTTAACATTTTGACTTAATTTGCACCTAATAACATTTTCTTGTGTTAAATTAGCAATTCATTAAGAATTAATTGCTGTTTACCCTTCAAAACACAACATGTACGTATACGTCAGATACATCAGATACATCACAACTGCTGGAGCCGTACCCACATATTTGCGAACTGCAGTTCAATTATTAAAAATTCATTTATAATTTATGCAGATTTTTAGTGTCTTAGTTTCCTCTTTATAATTTTTTCAATTTATGGCAATATTCTAAGCGTTTTGTTTGTAAATTTTGCCTTCATATTGACCACCATGGAACATGACACTGACAGCGTTCTCATACAAAATGTTGCATCATTTCAGCAGTTTTTCCTATGGCCTTTGTTTTCTGCTGATGTTGCTTTTTCAGAGATTTATCTCATTTTGTGTTTAACAAAATTAAATATTTTTATCTGCACAAAACATAAAACGAAGAAAAGAGATTGTGAATTTTTCTTTGGTCTAAATTTCAATTTAATTTCAATTACAAACAATTTTTATAATTTCCATTTAATGTCTTAATCATAGACATTTCCTATTATCTATGTCCTCACATTTGAAGTTGACTGCCTGAGTTCACATTTGTCGGGGGTTGTCTATTACTGAAGTATGTGTCCCTCATATATATATATATATGTATCAACACAAAAGCAATTACATACACATTCACTCATAAAAATTGTCTGTTGGTATTTTTAAGAAATTGTAAAAAGCAGCGTTTTGGGGTGCGTTTGTTACTTCCTACCTCTGACAAGATGCGGTGATAAGCACAACAACAGATGCTAAGCCGGGAATATCGTTCACATACACAATGCCAGGTTAGATTTATGGAGTGCGTCAAGTAGTGATAAGCAGTTTGACAAACAAAACCATTTCAGTGTGATGAAGAAATTGCTTACGATAACGCTACATAATGCAATATTATTTGGATTATATCCTATGATGATTAGTAAAGATTAAGAAAACATTAATTTTTCTTTTGAGAACTGACACTTTTTATATTCCATTTAACAACCATTAATTTTTTTTTTTAATTTTGATTTCATACAATAAATTATTTTCACATTAAATTTTATTAAATAAAATTTGTTTCCTTTTGTATTTATGAGATTTTTGCGTCAATTTTATTTGTATTTCTATAGATAATTTTTATCAGGACAAAAACAACTATGTTGTGCTTTGTTCTTATTTATTTATATATAAGAGTATAATTTATAGCAATTTAAAAAAAAATTTATATTTATGTATTTAGTTATATTGACTTTATTTATTTATACAATGTGTAATCTTTGTAAATACAAGGATTTCGATGGAACTGATATCTTTATCTATGACTTGATATTTTTATATAAATGTATTAAGCAGTAGTGCGATTTCAGATCCATTGGTTTCATATCAGTAGTGAAGACATTTCACAGGAAGATAAGAATAAGAATAAGAAAGAACAGGGTACTAGCTCCCATTTGAGCAGAGCACCGCGACCATGATTGATCTTTTGTGCTACAACAGACCCTAACTGAACAAAAGACATTCCGCCTTTCGAATGAAGGCCAAAATGTCGGTTGTTGAGGAACTCCTAATGTCGGAAGCTGTTAGCAATTCCCGACCCAGTGATCTCCTCTTAGCCCAGATCAAAGCTGGATAGTCACACAGATTCAGAGGAAGATTATACATTTATTTTTTTACAGATACCACATTTAAATATAATATGGACATATATATAAATCATATAGTCTAACATTAACGTTCCGTTTAGTGTTCATTTTAAAGCACTACACCATAGAAAATAGTATATATGGTTTGAATATAAATATTGATCAGATATCGATTTAAGTGACATATTTTTGGCTTCAGACAATCATAAATGATTAATGTAAAAAAATTTTGACTAATTGTATTAATTGCATTGACTCTATAATCCGAGCCACTAAATTTTCTACGGATTTTATAATTTTGAAAGAACTTAACTTCCTTAATCTATTCAAATACATATATGCATATATATACTGTATCTAAATTAAAACGCTTCTTATATAGTTACTGTAGTTGCAACATTAATTTTAATATAAATATCTTTGAAACTTATTAAAGTAACTATTTTTATATTAAGTTGAGCAATAGGTGCAGTTTTTATTTTGTCTAGAAGCTTTGTTGACTTAAATGGTATTAGAAATTAATTACTAAGTTGTGTGTAAAACAATAGTTGCGGAAATAAATGCATGCGAATTGTCATTAAACTATAAATATTTAAACAAATTCTTTATTACATAAAAGCACACCTAAGCAAATAATAAGTGTCAACAAAGTTATTGTTTAACATTACTATAAAACCCGTAAAAAACATTAATTGATCATCAGTTTCTAGTAAAATGAAATTATTAACACTTACATTATTCTTGGTGCTCATCGCTGTAGTTTTATCTATTCCTCAAAGAGGACCACCAGGTAGAGGTCCTCCTGGACGTGGACCACCTGGTGGCAGACCTGGAGGGCCAGGTCGTCCTGGTGGTCCTGGAGGTCCTGGTGGTCCTGGAGGCCCTGGCGGTCCTGGAAGACCACCTAGACCACCACGTCCAAGCTCAACCACAACCGCTGAGGCATCTTCGTCAGAGGCATCTACCACTACTGAAAGCGATAGCACTACTGTCACCGAGGATGACGGAGATATTGTAACTGAAGAATAATTAACATATTATACGTTTATCGGTTAGTTATGATGTAAATTGTTTTCAAAATATAAACTTTATAAGCAGCATAAGGAATATTTTTATTTATTTAATGTATATAATAATATAAAGGGACATTGTTAAATACACTCTGTAAGCAACTGTAAGTTCTTCGTAAGTGCTAGTTTTATTGAAATAGAGCAATATGAAAACAATACTACTTTAGTATTATAATAGCAGATACACATATTTCATATCTCTACATAAATATGTTACGTGAATGTTTATTATGATACTGCATCCAATAAGATTTTTGGATGCTACAACGTTTGAAAATGTAGAGTACTGGAAACGTTAATTGGTTAAGTGAATAAAAAACAGCTTGGCTTAATAATCCATAGCAGTTATGAAACATTTCTGCGTCAGATATATGCGACCTTAAATGGGAAAATACTTATTTGTTGGCATTAAATATTTTTGAAATTTTTTGTGGTTAACCATGATGGTATTGTGAAAACTAAAAAGTATAAGGATAGCAGGCTACACCCAAAAAATGAACGTGTCTAAAACCGCCTATACCAAGAATTGATGTACCATAAATTGAGGCACCAAAAATTGATGTACTAAATATTTATGTACCAAGAATTGATGTACTATATCTTTATAAGAATATTTTATAAGGATATTATAGTGACAGTCATCAGAGCTATTTGTTTGATCATTAGTATAGAATATATTGAAAAAAATTTTAAAAAAACTCTCTGCGGAGCCTAACACTGCGACCATAGCAGGTGTTTTATTATAGTAACTGATCATAATGGAGTAGATACTTCGCCTTTCGAATAAATACAAAAATATTTTTCGTTCCGGACTTTCTAATATCAGTCAGATATTGCGATTTTTGGACTAACATTCTATTTCTGACCCAATTCAAAACAAGATATTATCAAAGATATAAGTAAAAGAGCCAAAATTTAAAACCAAAGTAGTATAAAATAAAATATAATAAATAATATGTAAAATAAATAAATGAATAAAATAAATTAAAATTTATTCAAAGTACGAAAGTAGACGTTAGCGATAATACTACGAGTAGTTAGCAATACTTTCAAGACGGTTGGCGGGGCATAGATAATGATGTGAGATTTGGAAATCCCAACACGTTTAGCAATAACAAAAATCCAAAAAAATTGAACAAAAAAGGTACATGTTGCTAAGATACGATATATACGATACATCTGAATATTGATAGTAATACAAGATCTAGATACTCTTGTCTATTTTTCATTTTATATAATCCGAAAAAATTGAAACAGAAGAAATACCATTTGTCACAATATGATATTTATGAATGTTGATAATCACGTCCACGTCCATCAATAATAAAAATCTTAATATTTCTAAACAGATCAAGTACCATTAGTAACGATACGGTACAATATATTAATCTGGAAATCAAAAATCTATCTATAATTAATATCCTAAAAAAATTAATAGAAGAAGTATCATTAGATACGATACGATATTTATGAATATTATGGACATGGCACAAGTGTTATTTTATCTAACTTTTATACAACTATGAATAAATGACCATTATAATATGGTTTATTCATGACTCATCCTTTTGAATAGAGTTTTGTTCTTGAATTCCAAATGTGGTTTCTTTTTGTTTCATCTTCTCAAATTCTTTTGAAAGGATTGCAAAGGCGAATAAGGATTTGTCACACATGATGTATGACTACTTTATGCAATATGATGTAAAAGTGGTAAAATTTGTGAAAAAGTCTAGTAGCAAATTGTATTGCATTTCGAGTATTGAATTAAAAATTGCAAATTTATCAAATATTGTTGCTATAAAATCTCCTTGAAAGCGAAGATGCAGCAGCGAACCCTGTTCGAATTGCGGAAATTGTAAACGAATTCGAACAGATGCAAAATGCAATTTTATCTTTTGGCAGCTTTGGGCTGTGTTGCACATGGTTGGTCACTGCAGCTGACAATATCAAATGCTTGGGTTTTTATTCGTTTCCGTTCTGGTTTCTGCGATTGTTGCCAAACCAAGCAAAGCAATTAAGTTCAGGTTAAATATATTTAGCTTTTGCATTTATTGCAGTTTTTAGTTGTACATTTGCTCTTATGACTTTTTATAGCCTTTTAGGGCGCACAGTGACACGCTTCAAACTGTAAACTTTTTTATTTTTGCCAAAAATTGTAAATGTGCCAACATGACAGAGCACAAAAATCAACAAAATTGTTTACATTTGCCAATTAATGATCTCTGTAAGTAGCCTAAATATACACGTAAATACATTACTAATTGCCCTTAAACAGAGATATATAATTCGTTGTTTTTATAAAGTATTTTCTTTTTGCTACGAATCTGTCATTCCCAACATAAATCATTTGTTTCAAACTTTCTCTTATTATGTAGCTGCGTGCTTTCCGGCAGTAAATCTTTCACTTTGTCTTACAAGTTTTTTGGAGAAGTCCTTTCATCAAGTTGGAATGCGCTGCTGCTCGACTATGTTATAATTATTGCTCACATTTACGTGCCCCAATGCCAAAGGTGCTGGGGAGCAGATGTAGTTAATATTTATGGTTGTTTAATCTTCTCACTTGAATAACGCATATATTAACAATCTAACAATCTAACAAACTAGCAGATACACCTAGCAGATACATGCTGCGTGTCTGTGGGTCAAACTGACCCTTTTTCCGTGCTTTCGCAGCGTTTGGGTTAGCATGTCCATTTCATTTCCTTTTGGAATTGCTTAATCATACACATAAATAAAAGCATCAAATTTTATATCAACATTCATGCACTCACACTTCAATCGTGTAATGACAGTGAAGATGGGAAATGCACAATTTGTAGTACGCATATATGGAGATTAAGGCCCCCACTTGCAGAAATTGTAGCAATGCTTCAAGTGGCGTCTTGGGTGAATTTGCTGACTTACTCCATGTTTCGATATATTGTAATTTCTGTTACTCTCATGTGCTTTGTGCATAAATATTGCATAAATCTTTCAATTTTAAATACCTTTTTTCAGCGCCCCTCTCCCAATGTGAAAGCCCCAACGAGTATGCGTAAATTTCTTTAATCCTTTAATGTACACACAAAGCAGAGTTTGTATGGAAAACTTTGCCTCGACTTAAACCATTTTTTTTCTGCCAAAATAAAATAAAATAAAATAATTCAACTGAAGCCAAAGTTTTTTGTTCGTTATTTTGTTGCTTTGAGTTTCGTTGATAAAAGCGCAACTTTTGCAAAATTAATTCATGAAAAAATCATAAACCGAGGCAGGAAAAGTTTTATGGCTACAAAGGAGAAGGCAAGTATTATTGGGAAAGCGATTTGTGCGAATTTAATTCGCAAATACACTCAATGAAGCATAAATTTAAATTAGAAAAAAATAATGTAAATAAATTCGGCTCTAAACAAGTTAAAAGTACTGAAAAATAAAATTAAAATAGCAACGAGAAGGAAGCACAGAAGCACAGTTTAAATAAATCCATTGAAGTCATAAAAGGAATTTCGAGTTTTCCGCTGTTAAAAGGGATTAGTCTCAGTGCCTCGTATCCAAAAAATTCTAACAATTGAGTTTAAAGTAGAAAAAAAAAAACAAACTAAAATTATGAATTTATAGTAAACAATTATTTTATTTGATAAATTTTGTGCTTAACTAAACGAATATAAAAGAATTAGTCGATAGTTACACAATGTAGAGCAATATTTTCTATAGCATTGAACAATGACCTCTTAAAGCAGAATTAATTTATGTATAATAGCGTTTTATTGGTGAATCTGGATTTAATCTAGAATTATTCTCTTCTTCTTTTTATTTGGCAATACAGACCAGTGTGAATCTTGGCCTCCCTGGGTTACATAGCGATAATATTATTCCGATGCTAACCTGGAGATAGGATTGGTGTGTAGTAGTTAGAGAATTTTCGCTCAACTGTATATTTTCAGGTTATACCGGCTGTACTCGGTCGCTAGAACTTCATATGTGAAAAACAGGGGGTTGACACAGGTAGGTGAGGTTGACAGTTGAGAAGGCTAAGCTATATATTCGCATCACTCCTCCATTCGGGCACACGCTTTTGCCCATCGAACATTTTTAGAGTAATCTAATATTTTTTAGTCGTGGTAAAAACCACCATTAGTAAAACATCGAAAACATAATAGTTAGTCACAAATTTTAGAATAAATATCGAAAAAGTTGTGGCAAAAGTTGTTGCTCGGAATATTTCAATTTTTTTTTGTTTTGTCATCACTTTTTGTATTAATAAAAATTGTTTTAAACATTACAAGTATAAACAAATTCAATTAAATATGTAAGTATATGTATCAATGCTATTAAATTAAAAATTTTTTGGCTTATATTGGCATAATGATGGATAATACTCTTTCATAAATTAATAGGTCGTCTACTGAAGATAGATGCATCAAAACTTTAAGGAGAAACTTAATATATACATAAATATTTGAAGACATCTTAATGCAATGAAATAAATAGTGAAATAAATATTTATTGAAAGAAGTAAATGTCATGAGTTGCTCGAACCGTCTTAGAAATAATATTTATTCCATTAACCGCAGAATGGCAAACGATTTTCACAAAAAATGCTTGTACTAATTAAATTAAAGTATTGATTAAGTTAATTTTGTTTAAATTTTGTGTTTCATTATTGATTTTCCTCTATAGTAATTTAAAACACAATATACTCATTTTCAAAAAAGTAGAATATTAACTTTGGTTAACTGTAGTATAAATAATAATTTCCATGTACCGCCATAGTTGAAAAACTGCAAATACTGATTATACTGATTTATAATCATTATTCTGATTGCATTTATCTTGATTAAATTTTAAATTTAATTATGTACTTTTTTTTTAATAACAATTTTTAATAAAATATACCTTTACACATGGCAAATAAAGTAAAATGAATAAAAATTTTTAGGAAGTAACTTATGCCATTTTCGATTAATAAATATGGGGTAGCTT